AGGCCTAGATTTGTCTTGAGTGACACAAGAACGAGGAGATACCCACTCTCATTTTTGTAGCTTTTGCTATCATCTTCCATTGTGGGCACGTCGCTGCTGCTTTTTAAAGTAATTAATCCTCATCTCGTTAGGTTCCTTCGTTGCAAATCCTCGCGATGGGGCGACGGCGGTGGTATGTATGTTCGCGAAGGGCTCAAGCAAGCTTCTGGCCTGCAAAACTGGGTGATTCAGTGTGGCAGAAGTCCAACTCAGTGACGAGACAAGAGCTCCAAACCCGTCCTCAGGTGAACGGCGAGCTCAGGTTCCAGAATTGTCACCACCTGAGCTTGTGGCATTGACGATTCTCTCACTGCCCGTCTTGTTGGTGACACGGATATCTGTTCCAAAATAGTATCTGCCCACACTAGCACAACGGTTTTCTGGGCCTGGGCGGGAGGAAGTGAGTGGGAGCAAGCCAAATCTTGAATACACCTTGATTACTATTACTAAGCACGCTTTAAATTATAGTAACAGTAGGATCCCTAATATGACTCAAGGCATCATCACGGATGTACAGAGGCAGTGCCGGGCGCGCCGGCGGAGGGATCTACGTATCGAAGGGCAGTCTGCAGCAACTGCACCTCGTCAGGAGGTTCAGGGTTTAGGGTTGGGAACATGCTCCCAGGGGCTTCAGGCTTCAGGGTGTAATTACGGGCTACGGCTAAAGGATTGAAGGGACAGGTATTTCAGGTCCGAGCATTCGGCGACTCCATAGACTCCGAGGTAGTACGGGCTTAGCGCAGGGTTCTAGTCTGCATTTGGGGTCTTAGATGCTGGCTCCACCACATTTCGCAGTACAGCATGTGCGTCGCGAAGACTCTATATCCTCAACAACCTGTGAAAAATTGGCAGTTTCCAGGTGTCACATCGCGAGCACCTGCGCCCCAGGATTTGCAGCCATCCAATCACCAATGTGCACACAAGAAGCCAGGAGCCAGTCCAAGCCATCTGTTTCGGGATGGATTTGTTGACGGGCGCAGCCGTCTCCTCGCCAGTGATGCTTCACATCTGCGGCATGGGGCAAACCGCTCCGTTGGAACGGTGCCAAACCTTCGTTTACTGACGAGAAGGAGTCACAAGAATCATCAAGGACATCCTCTTTACCGCCTTGGCACTCAGGTTCGATTCCACTGACAAGGCAGTGAATTTACCTCTCTTATTTCTTCTGCTCCACATCGTTCTCGTTATGTCGTTGTTTTCGTTTTCAATCTGCCAGTCATTAAGAGCCTTCTCACCATGGGCACCCCTACCTCCGAGGGGTGGAGACTTTCACGTTATGCCGCTTGGCTGACTTCGGACATCGACTCCCCTTGAATGACTAAACATCTTACTAGACATGTTTAGTATTTTTCTCCAATATGTTTAGTAATATGTTTAGTGCCCCCTCTCTCGAAACAAGCAGCGAAGAATCAGCCAGACCTCAACCCCAGATTCTCTCAATGAAGCTGTTCCTTCTGCATATCTCCGCACCCTAACGGCCCTGAACCGTTAGCCTTTCCTTCACCCCCTCTCCCATCACCGAACAAAAGCTACCCGTTTTAGCTTTTCCGGGGTTCTATAAAGATGAATCATAACAAGGAGCCCGAACAAGAAGAACCCCCCCCCACAGCGACAGCTTGAAGCCGCTTTCTGGAAGCTGAAAGTACCTCGCCTTGCAAGGTCTGAGCTACCAATCGGGTTAAACCGGAACCACTGCATCAAACCTCAGAAGCTCTAATAGAGTGGTCGGAGTGGGGAATCATGACATTCCCGGGGTTTGTCATTATATGTAGCCGAAAACCCTATTCCAATTATGAAGACACTTATATAAACTAAAGAGGATACGCAGGCCAGGCACAGGTAGACAGATCGGCAAGACATGTGCCGACGAATGGGAAGTTGAATGTGCATAGCCTTGCAATGCGACTCGGGAAAGCCTTGAAGCCGAACCCTAACCTCGCCTGGCATGTCCGAGTTGTGAGAGCGTAACCTCAAACCTTCCAGGGGCTCCTCCAGTCACAATCGTGGTGGCGGCATCGCCATTAGCACCGGATCCACCGTCTGCATTAGAAAAGGGGCTGGGTAAGGCCTACTAAGCTACTGTAAAGCCTACTACAAGGGTTCCCACTACAGGCTACCATAGGGGACACGCGAATGATTACTGTTGGAGGCCATCATCTCATTAGCTCGTTTGGGACAGACGTGATTTGTCAGACAAGTACGTGGGCACTGTTTCGGTCGATAACTGTAGCCCATGTAGCACCAGCCCCCCCGCCGGACCGAGGGCACCTCATACAGACCGGCGGCTACCTTGAAGTATACAGGTGTCTCGTCAAGCATGGCAGACTTCTTGGTGGCAAAGGTTGGGAGGTGCAGCCCCCCAAACCTTAAGCCCAACTCAAGCGACCTGCTCGGAGTCGATGTTGCTTCCCCGTGGCGATGCAGCCACCTTTGTTCAAAGACTGTTCTGCTGACTTTAGATCAGTTGTCGGAATAATGAGAGTGAGTGAAGCTTTGGGATGACAGCATTCTTTGGCTCAGGTGCTGGACGGAGCAGGGGGGTGGTGGGATTTTCATTATCGATGGCAGACTCTCGGCGGCCGGAAGCGTTGTTGACCTTCCTACCCCCTCGCTGACATAAGGAAGGAAGCATTGAAGCGACATAGTTTTGTTTTAGATGTTTCCAGAGTCCAGAGTGATGCCAGAATACCAGGGCCATAGATTGGTGATTGGTTGTTGTATGGGGTTCGTACGCTTGGGCAGTACCGTGCTCTTGCGGGGAAGAAGTCATCAGTTCAAGCTAACCTGCGACAAATCATGAACATTATAGCACGCACGGTTGCCGTTACCCTAAATACTCTGCGGGTTTGGTTATTGTTTGGGATGTAGTGGGTGTTGATGCGCTGGGATGCATGGTCTGCTGCTTTGCGGCTGTTCGCTAGGGACTCTTGATGCTTCAATACGTGCCTGCCGGGCTGACCCTCATGAGGAAAAAAACGGAGCATTCGAAAATTTCTATAGCCGACCAGCCAGACGTCTACACTTGAGTCACTTGAGCTCCATCTTCTCAGCTTCACGAAAATTTTGATGGCAGCAGGACCAAATTCATTGCCCCCACCCTCTCTCCTTCCTTGGAGGTGGTGGGCTGTGGTAAGCCGCGCATGGGAATTTCAAACTTCACGTGTAAATGAAACTGTGCGTATGCGTGATGATGTGTTCATAAAAGTAAGTGTTTAGGTTGGTTCTGTGTAGGTAACGACGAACTTGGGTTTGCTCGTTCACTGTTTGTTTGTAGATGATGTGAAAGACGCGCACGCACAAAAAATACATCTTTTTTGTACGGTTCCCTGCTGATGCTTCCCATCCGCTGTCATCGCTTGTCATGTGTACTTTACCGTTTGCATGTCTGCCGTCTGCATGGTCTGTTTAAATCAAGTAGTATGTGGCACAAGTCAGTTCGTGTCAGTCGTACTATCCTACTTACTGCCACTCACAATGGGACAAGCGGCAGAAAGTCAGGCCTGAGACAATCAGATGGAACCATCTTGGTGCAGGGATGTGGCACTTCAGGCATCGTGCCTCTGCTGCAGTGCGACGTGCTGGTTTTGATGCGCAGTTTCGGGGGCATGGTATGGGAAAGGGCGAGGCATAGGTGCCCTGCTTTGCTCACAGCAGGATATTGAGCTATTAATGGTTGGCAGCTGCTGCAAATAAAAGGGGACTAGGTGCAGGTATGGTCTGCTCTGCCGACTGTTACTCCGGGACAAGAAAGCGAAATCGGATGTATTAGCCGTGGTCATCATCATCATCATCCTGTCAGCGAGCAGCATCCCCACGACCATGATTACCTCAGCGTTCACCAGTCACCACGGGCATGAAGATGAAGAAGGACGGACACGGCAGAAAGGAAGTCGCGCTAGGCAGGCAGCCCATTGTATACATATACATATACATATACATATACATATACATATACATATGTATATATATATATGTATATATCATATAGTGTTGTATATAATGTATCGAAATATCCAATATAAACATAGTTTTGTATAGTAGAGTGTATAGTATAGTATCGTATAATATAACATGGTATAGTGTAGCATCGTATAGCAGAGTGTAGTACATAAGAATGTGTATGTATTTATGTGTGCGTATGTGTGTATATGTGTGCGTATGTGTGTATATATATATATGCATACTGTTAATCAATATGCACCGTGAAAGGTATGCAATACATAATGCATAATGTAGAATATCCAGTATATACTACAGAGTATATACTACACATTTTCAGACTGCGTCGGTATAAGATAGGTACTAGGCCAGGCGACAGGTGACACTGCTGCATGAGAATCGAGACCCGTTGATACATGCTTTATGCTATAAGCCTAGTACCCCTTTAACCCTAGAAACCCCCAAACCCCAAGAACGGTGGCTGCATCTTCTTGATGAACGGGGATGTGGAGCAGACACACGGCACTCTGGTGCTGCGAAGCTGCGAAGCCGAGGCTCCCTGAATCTTTGCCTTCGGGGTCCCCGGGGTTCAGGTTGTAAGCCTTCCAGAGGTTTAGGTTAAGGCTCAGGGCTTTTCGGATTGAGGTTTAAGATGTTCTAAGGCTGAGGATCTTGGGTGACAGTAGCTCAGGGTATCATGAAGTTGAAAATGATCATTCCGAATAAAACACAGCTGAACGTCAGAACCCCTGACAGGTAAGGGGTGGACTGATGGCCATCGGAATGGGCAGCTTGCTCAGCATGTGGTGTTCAGCTCACAGGCTTGTGGCTTTGGGCAGCAGGGCTTGAATGAGTGAGTAGGCCGAGTGGCGTGCTCTGAAGCCAGAAGCTGAGCGTAGTTCACAGGTGAGAGCCCTTGAGAAATATCAGGAATCCGCCAGCTCGCAGCTAAGCCAAGCAGCAGACAAGATCTACAGAGAAAGCGTCATGGCCAAGGAAACTTGAACCAACTTGGTGGCAAGATGGTCTTCGAGCATGGCAAGACCCCAGGATCTGGAGACGGTGGCTGCGTCAACTTAAAGCGTGGTGGCTCCTCGCCTTCAGTTGATTTGCTTGTTTTGTCGGTGTTGTCGTAATGGGTATTGATGGCTCAGCTGCCACATGTTGCACAAAAAAGCCTAGATACCTAGCAAGAAATATTCAAGAGTGACGGATGGGGATAGCTTCAGTGGTGTCCGGCACCTGTGCCAGCTGGACGAACCTGTCACAGTTCGCTCGACACACAAAGCGAGACCGACTGTGTTTCGGTAAATGAAGCGCTTCTGACAAATCCTCAGGCAAGGTTCTGCGATAGAGAGATGTGATGCAGAAGAAACAGAGCATCGCTAACTCAGACCGCACAGTAGAGACACCTGACGAGAAGCACCACTTCAGCTCTCAACAGCAGCACGCAAGATCAAAACTTTGGCGCTCATGAAGCTGACAGCCACAGTGCCGTGCAGTGCCGGGTCAGTTCGGCCTTCAAATCGCTCGAAGTTGCCAACGTCCTAGCACGACCAAGAGATTCGGCTCCTTGGCGCCTCGTGATCTCGAAATCCTGGAATCCTATCAGGGGTTTTCTGAAGTTGGCAATCAGTCTCCCGCCACGTTGGCCACAGTCCCGTGTGTTTCCAACTCCCGGCATCATGCTCCCAGACACAGCGACATGCACATGGAGGGTGGGATGCATGTTTCCGCCCCCACAAATCGTGCGGACACACGTTCACACGGCGCGGTCCGGTGCCTGGGACCAAATCGCAAGTCTTTGCTGGGTAACATAGGCAGTGAACACAGCATAAGATATGAGTACAGTACGAACACATTGACGTTTAGTATTTAGATGCCTGGTGTCATGCGTAAGCGAAGCAAGGAACCGACGATTCAATCAAACCACAGCCAGAACCTAAGAACAAAATGCAAAGTGTTCGGCCAGTACTGCACATGCCGCATGAACGAAGATCTTAGATTATGGTCGAAGGCTGCACTCCCCAGCACCGTAGACTTCGCGATTTCAGTTTCTGTTGACGCAGGCTTGGGGAGGAAATTTTGGGACGGGGTCTGGAGCTGTTGGCAGCTCAAGAGGGTGGTTTCTCATGCGAGGATACAAGTTGGGCAAGTGGGGCTAGCAGTGAGGCTCGGATTGATTTGCGAGTTGAGGGTGGGTTCTTTGCGGTACTAAAGAAAGAGGAGCAGAGGTTCTGAGACGATTTGAGACGTAAAACTGTGAGCCTCCTATACCTCATCAGCACAGAGCCTCTGCAACAAGGCCTTGTGCAGACTGGTGGCAGCATTCTCTTCTCTGATTCTTGGATGTTCAGGCAGCAGTCGCCTGCTGCATTGAGTTTCAAGCCGTGCAGTGTCAGTCTCAGTGGGAATGCGAAAGCACAAACACACAGCAACCGACAGAGCTAACGAGCTGGCCAGCGCGAAAGGTGTCGAAGGCCACACCTCAAGAGCCGCAGGGTTGTATATAGTGCCACTCAAGCTCCTCAGGCTGCCATGTGTTGAAGAAAGCCTCACGTAGTACTGGGGGACACTCCACTCTATTCTTCGAGACCGTTGTCTTCTTACTCTGTGTATTTGTATGTCCCTAAGGGCTTAGAGGGGAGAAATTCATAAACGGACGAGCAGAGGACTGCCATGCGGGCTCCTGGGGCAGTGCTGGAGCTCTCTTTGTCAACGGCAACCTCCGGCAAACAGATGGCCAGCTCCTGTGTTTCGGCTTCTTTGGAGGTTGAGGGTCGAGGGCTTCGGCTTAATTCTTTGGAGCTTTAGAGTTTATAGTTTCGGCTCCTATTTAGGCGCGGACGTCTGCCACCTTCAGCCCTCAACAGTTTCACTGACTTTTGGAAGCGGGAATCTGGCTCGCTAAGGGTTTAGGGTTACTAACCATAACCCAGTAACCCATTACTTTTCACGTGCCTCCTCTGCACAGAGTCCCAGGTTTTATGATTGTACTTCGCCTTTGTCCGGTGGGGCGCTTTCCGTGCTGGGTCGCTCGCCTCAGTTTGTATCGCCTTTCAGTTTGTCCACGAAGGCCTTGTGGGACACTCACCCCTGCATGCAGCAGCCGCATGTAGCATGATGAGCTCAGCGTCTGCATATGCACATACAACTGTCGACTCTTCCGGCACAGGAGATGCCACTCAAGAGGGTGGGCTCATGGAGTTCCAGAAGTGCTACTCTGAAGAGACTGGCGGTGGCATGTGCCTCACCGCAGTCCAAGCCCGGGTTCTTGCATTTTTGGGTTGTGCTTGATGCAACACAAAGAAACACAAAGAAGGTGTTGCCTGGAGAGGAATCACCAACAGTTGATGCCTCGTGGCAGGGTCCAGCACGAGGCTAGCGAAGGATCGGAATTCGCACCCGAAGTTATCGCCACTTCAAAGTATATTCTAGTCTACTATATTCTAGCATTATAGTATACTAAATGATAGAGTATTAGAGCATAATATATAAAAATAGTATATAATTATAGTATATCATAGTACAACTGTATATTGTAGTATATTCTAGATATTCAGCAGGCACGTTCTCGGCGACCTGACGCAGCTGGGAGGCATGATAGAGCTGCTTAATCCAACAAGCAAGCTATTTGTCAGTTGTGTTCTTAGTGGGTTTGACGGGTCTTAGGGTTTGGAGGTTTAGGGTTTANNGTTTAGGGCTTTAGGGTTTGGAGTTCTTAGTGACACGACAGGGATGCCATCTGGCATCTGCCCCCTGCCACAGATCCAGAACTAGGTTCAACCAGTTCTTTATGCTTAGCATTGTACATTGTACATGTCATCGTGCATCTGGCAGCCGGTTTGCAGAAAGGTTTCTCCAGTGCGCCACCGGCAGCAACTTGACCCTTTATCAAGGCCGAGGCGGGGTGAGAGCCACCTCAGTCATTGAAAGCCCCGGCTCGCATCCCCAATCCTCGCAGTGTGATCGTGA